TCCCCCCGCTTTTTTTCCGCCCAAACAAAGAATCAACTCTTCTGCTACTGTTGAGAGCTGCAGGCACGCCACTGAAGCAACGTTACATTGGCTCAGCTTCCCAATTCAACACAGTGCTTGCTAAGGAGACTCCTGACACTTCTTCCAGAGAGCATGCTGCTCTTTACTAATGAGCTCTGGAAGCTAAGACTATCCAGGCTGTCACATTTCTAACCCTGAACAATGCATAATCTGTGACTGTGGTGGGACTGGGAAGGAGGAGCAGAGAAGCGCAAGAAGGGATATTTTTCTGGAGGAAAGAGGTGGAGGTAAGGAAAAAGAAGGGGCTTACAAAGGCTAATGGAAGAGGTTTCTTACAAAAGCAAAAGCGTTCATGTTCTCAGACATGCAAATCTCTACTCCAGAATGACGAGAAGAATAAACAGTTGAATTATTTAACCTTTCTGCCCACTCACACCTTCCCTTTCCTCCAGTTTTATTCCCCAGGGCTACCGGACCCACCTCTTCCCCCTTGAGCGATGATTTATGGGTGAGGAAATGGGGTTTTCAATGCTAAGGTAAAGAGAAGGCTGTCAGACATTACCTTGCCCTTATGCAAGAAAAACCCCAGGCAAAAGTTCGGGGGGGGGGGGGGGGAGAACAGAAGAAAAAAAAAGACACATAGCAACACAGTCAGTCATTGCTCATCTTTTTTTAAAAAAGCTTCCATCTGTATCCAATATTCTGCATGTGTCTGTGATAGTTCAGGAACAGCATCCCTATCCTATAACTTTTAAATCCGGAATCATTAGAAACCCTTCTGATGTATCTCTCTATTGTCTCTGTGATCCAATACGTAGCACTGGGTTTTATAAGTTTGAGTTCAGATCTCTTTTTAGTCACAGGTTCACTTGGTAAATGTCCAAGCTGTACCTGAACAAATGCTCACGTTCTGGATGTGTGTAACTGCAAAAAGAACTGTCATTCATCATACAACAACCTGGTAGAAAATGATTTTCATGCTTTTGCAGGTACCTTTTATGCCTGGCTGAATGACAGAGAGGTGGAGAAAGGAGAGAAGGAGGTCATTAGGATAGATCAGTATGGTCTTCAAAAAGCAGCAGCCATAAAAACACATGTCCACGTTCACACCATAATTTTTATTCTAACCCACTTTAGAGGGAACATTTATTCTTCTTCAGAACAGTACAGACTGAACTGTACAAATGCAGTCTCAAATGATACTTAGAAAAATATTTTTAGTGCAGTGTTTTTGAGGTGCATCATGAGTTAAATCAAATTCAATTCAGCATTAATTATAAAAAAAATCCCTTTATGAACACCCTTTTCACATATTTTTTTTACAGAAACTAGTACAAGGACAGCACATGCTGCCTTTGGAACTTTAAAATAGAAGGTACCTCATACCAAAATCATGGTGAAGTTAGGCTGCATTTAAACTTTAAAACTAAATTAGATAGATCAACTATCTAAAAAATAAATAAATATAACAGACCCCAAAACAGAGATACTGCATACTTGTTTTTATCATTCATTAAGTATGGTAGGTTGACCTGTTTCAGGTCCTAGCAGCACAATTACATGGATTATCTGAGGTAACCATCAAAGCACCTGTTAATTTTATCTGCAGTATGCCTATCTAGAGAAATAGCAATCTGAGAACTTTCTCATGGCGGGTCTGTCTTTTGAAATGAGTGGTGATCAGGGACAGAACCTTTTCAAAAATGACCCTTTGCCTTTCAATGACTAAGGTAAAGGTCAAGGTTCTCCTCGCACATACGTGCTAGTTGTTTCTGGCTCTAAGGTGCGGTGCTCATCTCTGTTTCAAAGCCAAAGAGCCAGCACTGTCCGAAGACGTCTCCGTGGTCATGTGGCCAGCATGACTAAACACTGAAGGCACATGGAACGCTGTTACCTTCTCCCCAAAGTGGTCCCCATTTTTCTACTTGCATTTTTACTTACATGCTTTCGAATTGCTAGGTTGGCAGAAGCTGGGACAAGTAACTGGAGCTCACTCTGTTATGTGGTGCTAGGGATTTGAACAGCCAAACTGCCGACTTTTCTGATTGACAATCTTAGCCACTGCATCCCTTTCAATGACTAGTTTGCAATAAAGTGTCTTTGTTTTCCTGGACTTTTGCTAACTTCTTTTTAGCAAATAAATTTTGGTTGTGCTATCTGCTTGAAAGGATTGTTGCTATTTTATTCTGTGACTTCGCAGTATTTATTATTTTCGTGGGAAGTTGGGCTTTTTCAAAATTTCAGTATTTAATATCTTTTCTGCCCTGGGACTATAACTTTACCTGAGCAATAAAGCAATCAGTGACAACACCTTGAAGAAAGGAATTTCATAGGAAAGTACGCTTTTTATCATTGCATGAAGAAATGTAGGGAAAATGCCACAAAAATAA